AGGGTATAAATTAAAAAGAAACTATTGTAATTATCAGAAAACATTAGAGACGTCCTCTGTCGTCTGCCCTCTGCCCTTTGGCAGAAGATAAAGTGGCAAAACTGTCAAGGGTGTTGTTAGCTGGAAACAAGACGGTTTCAAAATATATATGAGCCCTTAGCTAAGTATAGCATCAGTTTTTGGCAAGCTAAATTTACTGAACTGAAATTATGGCTTTTATTTATAAAATACCTGTTTCAGTCAATAAACATTCAGTTCTAAAGATAATTCGAAATCCGAAAATACTTTACCCGCTGGGCACATCGTATAACCGCACGTACATGTGTTTGGTTTAAGTTTTACATACAGTGCGTATACGTAATACGAGCTCTCAACTGTTTTGCGTACTCTGATTAGTATCTCCGTTAGTGTGAGTGAGCGCGCGTGTGTGTGAAGATTAACAGGCGGATTGCTGTTACACACAAAAGCCACTCGAGTGCTACTTTAATGACCTCCCATCACAGGCTAATGTGTGTGTGTGTGTGTGTGTGTGTTGCCACGCTAAAAATTTGATACTTTGCCCAAATTTAGCTGGATTATGATTTTAATGGAAATCAAATTATATACATTTTTAGATAAAATCTAATGTGGCTAGAATTTAAACCTTCACCAGTTGAGTCGAATATAATACGCACAGCAGTTAAGCCAGATCGGAGACGATATTGTTTTCACACCAGTTCTGTATTGGCTGGGGTGTAAGAGTGGGCATGCCCCCATTCGATGCGGACACCGCCCGTTGTTTACACCTCTTGGCAGGTAACAAAGAAACTGAATCAACGCCGTCGCGTCGTCTGCTAATACCTGCATAATTGTTGTGCTAATTTTGCCAGCACGCCCAGTTAATGTTTCTATTGACACCCGACTGCGGCCCCGGCCCCCTGCCCTGGCCGCGGGTGCTGTTTGCCGAGACCGGTCATTTAGGTAGTTACAGTAAACTACTGCTACAGTGTGCACTGCTTTGACATTGTTTACGCTTACTTATGGGCTTGGCTGCCTTTGCCGTGGACGGGCGAACGACAGACGGCGTGGTCTGCATGGTGATTAAACTAATTTAATGCAGCTACAAGCCGCAACAGCAAGCTAGGCAAGGCAAGGCGGGGCAGTGGAGGGCGAAAGAAAAAGCATTTAAAACATTCAAAGTGTCGCATGAGAAGGACGCTCAAGTCGCAGCCAAGCGACAGCCGTTAACGAGCTGACTTCGATAGACGTTAGCGTTGCCCTGCCCCTGCCCCTGCCCCTGACCCTAGCTCGTTTTCACTTGCTGCAGACGAATGTGTGGCACAGTAGCAACTGCCAAGTGGCGAAAAAAATAAGAGAACAGCAACAACAACAAAAATAGAACGAAGCAAAGTTTAGCAATAAAAATCTAAATAAAAGCCCGAGTACTGCCAGCGACACGGCGCGGCTGCTAATAAAGTCATTGCTGCATGCTGCTAGGATGGTGTCCCTCCCTCCGACCACCCTCACCCACACCCGCACCCTCATTCTCATGCTCACCCTGACCCTGCCAATGGGCACGCTAAGGGGCGTCGTCTCTGAGTTCATTAGCAGCAGCTAACCTTACAGAGCCTTAGCGCGTCTCAGCTGCTGTTCCTGTTGTTGTTGTTGTTGTCCCCCTAGTTTTTCGCACAGTTGCCACAGCCGCTGTTAATTATAGCTGAAACTCGAGGTGAGCGCGCCGCGAGGCGTCTGCACGGCAAGCGGATGAGGGAGGTAGGGGCTAGCGTGCACCGTCCCTTACTGGAAATTTATAAAAGTTACACGTAGATTGACAGGCAATTTGTTATTGTATTATATTGAGGCGGTTATTTGGCTGCCGCAACTAGCTCTATTGACTGAGTGTAAATGCTAGCGAGTGGCTGCACGTGTGTGTGCGCGTGTGTGTGCGCGTGTGTGTGTGGGGGCTTTATACGTGTGTGGTCTGCGGTTTAGCTGTGTGGCTTTTGCAGCAGTGAGAGCAATAACAACCACTATTACTACAGCAAGCGGCAACAACAACAACTGCAGCAGCAACAACAACAACAACAGCAACTACAGCAACAACAAGTCCTGCTCGTATTCATTAGTGGGCAATTAACCAAAAGCGAATTCTATCCAAAAAGGCAATTATAGTAAATGCGTCGAATTAGACTTGACTCTTTAACACTAGCCTGACAGTTGGGCACATACATCTATGTATATGTATATGTATTGACCGCTATTAGCAGTAACCCAATGCAGGTGCTGCACAACAACAACAACAACAACACACATTWTGGAACTTGACCAATTGGTGGTTATTGAATCTAATTATTATAGCACAAGTTCATAATTCACACGAGGCCAAGCACTAGATTGGCTTGTAGGGCTCGACTATGTAATACCCTGTGACATTTTATCACGATAACTCCAGAGAGACGCGTGTTTTCGCAAAGTGAGCAGAGTCACGCAACTTCGGGAGCCTTCGTATCGCAACGCGGCCGTAATCCACGCTGAACTGCAACCGGAAATAGCTGCAAGTCCGACAACACAATTTTCCATTAAAATCAAAACGTTCTTAAAATCCGAAACGAGTTGCATTTGAATACTGTCTGATAAGATCAGCAGGGCATGCCAAGGAATGGCATGAGCTCGGAATGCTTTCACAATTTGTAGACGAATTCCAAGTAATTATAATTATAGAACTTAATTAATGCAAAATTAAGTCATCTATGTAGGGTAGCATTTGGCTGGGCAGTACTAACCAGCGTCATCTTACATTTGCGTATTGTGTATTTCTTATTAGTTTCGGCAAAATAATTGATTGATTACGGGCGGAGAGTTAGGTCAACCGTTATGTCAGCACAAAAAGATTTCATGCCACAGCGATTCGTCGAGCATTTGTACTTCATTTTGTGTATTTCGTTTTCAGTTTCAGTTTCGTATTCGTTTTCGTTCTCAATCCTGGTGTGGTTTTTCGTGTACAATTTGTAGTGAACAAAGGAACTGGGACAAATAAAATGTAATGTCATCGAGATAAGTAGCATGCTCCACACAAGGGGATTGTAAAGTATCCAAACTCGATATAGATGAGCATAACTATATTAGCCTGCTACGCAATCTCTCCTACGTACCCACTTTCTCTCTCTCGCTCTCTCTCTCTCTCCTGCCAATCCACACTCTCGGTTGAGTAATAAAAAACTCACGCAAACATATTCCATTAGATTTGCTGGGGCATCGCATCGCAAGTTATATATATTTATGAATGTAGTCGCAGTCGTTCGGCTATTCCGCAGCTGGCAATAAATAATGAAAGTCTCAAAATGTGTGCCCCACTGAAACAACAGGGCCAGCAGGGGCAGCAGGGGCAGCAGGGGCAGCAGGGGCAGCGCAGGTGCGGGCTGGGGGCCATAGGATATTCGAGCAAAAGTAAAGAAAAGAGTTGGCCCCCGAAGTAAACAGCACAGAACTTTGGCATGTTGCAAATGGAGTGTGGCAAGTGGAATGCGGCAAGTAGAAAGCAGCTGGCGCCAACATTCCGGCTCGTGCGCACATATTTGTGAATAAACATATGAAAAACTATCTTCTGTTACGTTTATGATAATATTTTATTTAAGCAGGAGTTGCAGGAGTCGGAGAAGTTGCAGGAGCAGCGGGGGTACGCGGGTCGCTCTGTTGCATAAAGGTTAACGTCAGAGATAGAAAACAAAGTGAAGAGTTACGCACATACACACACATACACAAACACACACATACTCACACACAGCTACACCCACTTATTACCAGGCACGCCCCGCCAAACATTTGTCTATTATATATTTATTGTGCCACGCACTTCCCCTCACCCTTGCCGCCTGCCAACCATTCAATGCGACATGGCCCGCGGTCACAGTCGCAGCTGTTGCTGCCCTCGCGGAGACACTTGATGGCATAGACAGCGCAACTTTGCAGAAGCTGCGCTGACTTTTGCGGCTTGGCTGTGATAGGCACAACAAAGTTTTCTGTCAGCTGTGGCCCGCCCTGCGCCTGGCCGCCCATCGAGTTCGAACCAAACTTGTTGCATTGACAGGCAACTTGGAGTGCCAGTTGCGATGTCGATTTGCTGCCACCGTGCGCAGCATGTCAAAGATAAGAGCATGTTGCAAGTGAACTTTTGCAGCACAGTGAGGGGGTGAGTGGTGGGGGGAACGAAGGGAATCACAGGATGTGACTCGAGTGGTTATTTTTGCAAATTGCATGTTACCCAAAGAGCAGTCGGTAAGCGTGCTGACAAGCTGCAGCTTCAGCAAACATCTAGCAGGAGACAGCAGGCAGCAGGCAGCAGGTGGCAGGCAGCAGGCAGCAGGCGGGAGGCACCACGCACATTGCATCCCCTGCTCAACCTGGCCACAATATAAATAGCACTGATTTGTGCTCACACAAATGCGAGCGAGACTCGTACGGGTCTTCTGCTATCTGTAACCGACTGCGTCGACTTGCTGGCAGCCCAAAAGTTAAGCCCAACCAACCATTCAACCCATTTGTTTATTATGAAAATACAGGCGGTCGGTGTGGGGGCGGCTGGATGTGTGCTTTGCCGCCACTGCTGCTGCTGCTGTCGGTACTGCTGCTGCTGTTGCTGTCCACAAAAACCTTAAACTGATGACACACTTCACGTGGAGGTTTTTTGCCTCTGGCCCGCTCAGCGTTCAGTGCTGAGCGCTCAACGCTCCACGCTCAGCGCTCAACTGCTGCTGCTCGACTCTCTGCTGCTGTTGTTGCTGCATTTCCGCCTGAATGGCGTTTGTGCTTGAAGCAACTAACTGCCTGGGATGGAGTGAGGCAGAGATTGGTGGTGGGGATGGAACTGTGGCTGTTTGTAGCTATCACAAGTGTGTCACCGAGCGAGAGGCCCAGCCACGTATCAGTATGTCTGTGTGTGTGTGTGTGTGTGCGTCGTACTTAACGTTTTAAAACTCTACTCCGTACATGGCACACTATATTGACTTTGAAGCATAAAAAGCTTTTCTGGATACTCCAATTCACAAGGGGGTGGACTCTTTATTACAACCCTCTCAAATGAAGCCTTCATGTGTATATGCATGTGACATGTGTGTGTTTTTTTTCTGTCTGACTCTGAGCGTGTGTGTGTGTGCTTGTGCACTTGAGTGTGTACGTTTTGGTTGGCTCGGACGAACTAGAACAAAGGAACGGGCTAATAACATCCAGCGAACAAAACGAGACAGCTTTACGTGGATATCTTCTTAGTTGGGGAAACGACAGAGATGCCCTGCTGATCTGACGAATTCCATTCAGACTCGAATAAATTACAAAAGTCCTGAACAAAGCTCTTCAAACTAATCATACGTCCGTGCAGCTCGGTAAAGCTGCGCTCATCGAAGACCTTCAGGCGTATGCGATCCTCTGTGTCCTTGGTCTCTGAAGCTCGATCAAAGTACGCTTTGCGCTGCTTCAGAAGCTTGGTGCACTGGCGACTGCAACAAGTCACAAAATTTACCATGTCCTTGATCAGGCTCTGAGCCAGGAGATAACGGTTCAAGATATCCTCCTTCCCCTCAGCTGGATTTGCACCGGCTACTTTCTTGGCAGATTGGTCCGGCTTGAAGTTGTCCAAAATGAAGGCTTGAAACTTGAGTCCAATGGTCTGCAGCTCATCTGTCATGCCGCGCAAGCCATTTAGAATGAGATGCATCAGACCCTGATGTATGTGTATATGAAAATCTGAATACCATATGAATCGATTACTTACATTCATTTCGGTCATGTAGTGCTTGTCTGAATAGATTCTGTAATCGGGCCACCAGTCGTCGTCGTCCGCATCATCTTTTTCATTCGCCATCTCCTCCTCAGATACGAAACGTGTGGAGACTATTGTACGCAGCGTCTCAAAACGCGGCAGCATCAACTCTACGATAAGGCCTTTCAGCTCGGGGTTTACATACAATGGGGTGCGCTTCATGGCGCTCTTCTCGATCTGATTACTTTGGATTTTTGGGGCTGGCATTTTGAGCGAATAAATGGAAAATATATATAACTAGATGCTTTTAGAGTTGAGTGATTAACAGCTCCGACATGTATGTGAGCTTACTAAATAATACAATCGGCATAAATGAAATCAAAGTTTGATGTTACAGCTGCCTGAGTTTTTAGTACCTACTAAGGTCTTCAACTCTATACAAAATAATACAATTTTAGCATTCGTGAATAATCCATTCAATTGCTATTTTTCTTTCATTTCATGTGACAGAAGCTAATTCTTAATTAAATAACATATTTCAACAATGGCAAATCAAATCGAAAAACGTCCTTTGGCTGCTGTTTGATTATGTATACGCAACGTTCGCCAGCGTATATGTATTTGCCATAGGGTTTATAAAACTGTCTGAACGAGCACACGTGCAGGACACTAATACGCAGATAACGTGTTGGTTTATGCAAAATGCAATGTGCGTTTATGTGAATGTATGCGTACATCAGTCTGTGTGTGTGTGTGTGCATTGCTTGCTTTAAGCTAATTGTTGCTGGCGCTTTTACCAAATGCTCGACGCCATTGTTGCAGTTCCGCTTGCTGCTTCTGATTTTTTTTTTTCGGCTCCCCTCCCAACTGTTGGCATAATCCACGTAGTCTATATATATGTATGTGTATGCATGTGTGTGTGTGTGTGTCTATGTGTGAGTATTCATTGTTTGTGTTTAAACCACAAACAAAAAAAATAAAGAAAAAGAAAAAACCAACATAGCTCGCAGTTAGTCCTCGAACTGGGATGAGCACAGATGCACAGCCAAACGGAGCGACAGAACTTGGTGACAGTTCTGCCAGGCTGTCGGGTTGCCGGGTTGCCGGGCCTGCCGAGCAGACAGTGGGGCAGTGGTGCAGCACCGGGGCAGTCTGCAAATATGTTGGTGTAACAACTTTCGAGATTTGTGTCAGCTCGTTTGAGAATTAGTCGTAGGTTTTAGTAAAATTAAAAAAATGCTGTCACTTTGTGTGGCTGGCATTTGCCGTCTCATTGTTCTGCCTTTGCGTCTGCATACAGGCACACACACACATACACATACACACGCACACACACACACACACATTCACAGGCAGACACATCTCACCATATAGACATGCCCGAATAGACTTATAAATGTGTGAAGAGATTTGGTTTTATTTCGGGCTGGGCCTGGGAGCTATCTTCAATTATTTATGCGCCGCAAAATGTGCAAAGTAATTTATTCAGATTATATGCAAGAAACAGGCAGCGAACCAAACGAAATATATAATAAAAAAAAAACAAAAAGGGAGCCAGCCTCGAATGAAATGAAGATGAAGCCCTTTTCAAACGGCCGCCAAGTGTCCAAAGTCAAGTGCACAAAATTAAGCTCTGCACACCTGGCGGATGCTTGGCGGCATCTACCTCAACTTGGCCGTAAAATTTTATGTTGCTATAATTTAGCTTTAAAATCGCACCACACTGTCCCCGTTACCCCCACCGCCCAGCCACCACTGGCATGCGGTGGAGGCGGAGGCGGAGGGGCGTGTGAACGGACAGCACCTTGGCGCACGCACTTAAACGGAAATAAAATAAAATTACAAAAAGTGGGCAACTTTTTTTTTTTTGACGTAGCGATTGTTATCCTTGCCGCTGCTGCTGCTGCTGCTGTTGTTGTTGTTGCTGCTCCTGTAAACGGCTGACAGAAAGTGATTTAGAAACTATGCCAATGCTGCTGCTGTTGCTTCCACGACTGGCCCGCTACAGTTATTCAGACTTGGGGTTGTGCCGCGGCGTTGGGGCATTCAGTTTGTCGGGCCGTTGGCAGCCATAAAGGTGAATTTAAATTTGGTATTTTTTGCCGGGTCGCGTTTTCATTTGTGCCGCATAAAATATGCCATTGAAATTTGCAATTGAAATTGAAATGGAAATGGAAATTGAAGTGCCTTAACAACTCTCGACTTGTAAATAAACGTTTAACTGCCACGAGTGTAATGCAGCATAAATCAATACGGCAATTGATTGCCCAGCCCTCACATGTGCCCAGACGAGGCGCACTTATTAGCCCGCTCAAGGTCTGGTCGGTCTGCCTCTCAGAGTGCCAATATGCCAAGAATGTCAGAGTGGCGTTTACATATTTAATGCGCTCTAACTGGCTTAATCAGCATTACAAAGTAATTAGAGTTAATTCCTTTGTACCTGTACGCTTCTCATATGCCCGCTCTCTCTCTCTCTCTCTCTCTTTTTCTCTCTTTCTCTTACTGACGCACACGCACACCTGCGGCGCTAGCACACGGCATTTTTGTCTTGCGAGAATGATGCTGCGAATATTTGTAAACTGTTGCGTGGCAATTTGCATGGTTAATTATCTATTAACCTGCGCATAACTTTTATACAAGCGGATGGATGGGGGCCGGTTACCTGCTACTTGTAGATATTAACACACACACACAGACACATGCAAACACCCACACCCACGCTCGTATATACATAGAGACAAACAGAGCAGCGCGCACGCAAGACAAATATGTATGTATATCCGTTTCCGCTTGCTGCTCTGCCGCAGCCATTGTCGCTGTCTCTTTCCTGTTTTTGTTATATAAGAGGCAGACAACAAGCGCCGAGAGGAAGCGGAATGGGGGAGCGGTATAAAAACAAGTTATGCTAATCTTAATGCGATGCCATTTTCAGTTGCCATTCACAATTTAAAGCAGTCCTTTTGTTCTGATGCCGCTGCTGGCGCTGGCGCTGGCGTCGACGTCGTCGTCGTCGTCATGCCGCTGCATGCCGTAATTTATGCTTATTAAATATTTGTGCTTAATTAAAATTTAATTTTAACTACACAACAGCTGCCTGCAACTGGCAGCTCCCAGCCAACAACTGACAAAATGAGTCCAGGTCGGGACTCGGAACCGTCACGGATGTTGCCTGAGAAAGGGTATGCAGCGAGACCTTTCCCCAGTTGCTCAGAATGAAACCGAATTCAAGGCCATTTTTACCTATTTATTGTGTATTAATTATACATATATTTGCGGCCTTGTGATTGATGATGGTTTGGGCTGTGATGTGCATAACTTAACTAATTTAAAAGGGAAGAGCACTCCTCTCTGCTATTTTATAAGCTTCAGTGGTCAAGGATTTAAAAAAAGTTTTGGTATTTCAACTATTTTAATGTAGATTTTTTCAGCAATATCCGATGTAAGCTGAATTTTTCAAACATTTTTCGGATACTGTGCGAAAACAAATACAAGGGAATACAAGCCCCTTCTAATTGAACCATTTGGGCGTAGAAGGATACTTATAATCAATTTGAACCCTTTTCGCTTAATTTTTAAGGGGCCGCAATCATCCTCAATCGATCTACATTATTGACACATTTTTGACAAATTGCCAGGCTGCATGGATTCCGTTTGCGGACAGTGTGCTTTCATTTTTATTCAGTTTCTTTGCTGTTTTTATATCTAAAACGTGTTTGGCATCATAGAACGAAAGGAACTACTCGCAAAAGGTTGCATACCTTTCGACCCGACTGGGGAAGCAGGTCAACGGTGTGTTATATTTGTTTGTTTTACTCTCAATGCGAACCCTTGTCAAGTGCAACCCCCGCTGCTGGCATTGCTGTCGTGCTCCTGACGTTCATTTCTGACTGCTCTTCTGGCATGTCCTTGCTCCGCTTTGGCGCCTCTGCGCCCCTGCCCAGCTCTGCTGGCCTTAATTATGTGCGGCCCAAGACAAAATCAAATGCACACGCCACTCACATGCACAGAGTCCCCTTCTCGCCGCTCCTCTCCTCCGTTTCTCTGCTGCCAAGTCTCAGCCTAGTTAATTGCTCGTGGCGCCACTTGACCGAGCTGCTGCACTGCAGCACGCTGCCTGCTACCCACCTACTGCCTGCTAGTTACGTTTACGTTTACGTTCGGGTTGACAGCTTAAACTAACCGCCCGCTGCCCCACCTACGACACGACTTTACTTTCGGCCGCCTCTGGGCCCATTTTTGATTATTTAAAGAGACTCGGCGACCATTGTCTGGACTTGACCTCCCGGCTGGCCTGGCTTCCTGCCTCGGTTGCTTCTCTTGTTTATTTATTTCCCGACGCCTTTTCGTCGGTGCCTGGGCCATGTCTTTGTCCGGCTCGCTGCGTTGCCATGCACAATCTTGCAGAGAGCTTGCTTTGATGTGCTCCTATCAGAGCAGTTCATCGTGCTCGACTTGTGCGCTACAGGCCCTCAGAAAAAAGGGTTCAAATTACGAGTACTGATTTGAGCTAGCTCAAAGGGTTAGCCATTGTTATCATTGCTCTTTGGTCAATTGTCACGTGGCACTTTAAAGCACGTTCCGAGGCGACTTTTGAGACATTTTCCTTTGTGCCGAATATCTCAGTTAATGGCAAATTAATTTCTTTAGCGAAAGTCTGGGCAAACATTCTCATCATGTCTCATGACATTTGCTTAAGACAAGATATTTAATTGGATAGCCAGTTTTTTCAATTTCATTTCGCAGTCCAGCTGGGAACTTAAGCTGGACCGGAAGTCTGTATGTGTATATGTGTGTGTGTATATATATGGTATATGACTGTCGATACATTGAAATGCCTGTGGCCAGCAGGTAATTGTGAATGTCACCCCTTGGCAGGAGACGGGGGTAAATGAACGGAACAAGAAATAACGACCCCACCCAAAAAATGCCACATCCAGCTACTTAATTTCCGTTTCTAGTGAATTTCTTTGCGGCTAATTTTGTTGCACAAACACAGACACATACACAGACAGGGAGAGAGAGAGAGAGAGAGGGAGGGAGCGAGAGTGGCACCGGCTTGAAAGCAGAACTGGGCCACTCACACAGAGACAGATTTGTACAAATGAGTGCGACTCTATATACACTCACACACACACACACACATGCATATATATAAGTACAAATGGATTTTTAGTGCTTGCCATTTTCGCTGGCCTGCCGTAATGCTCGGCGCATAGTTTTATTCAACCGCATCACAGCCCGAGCGAACTAAGAAATTATAATCAGGTGGGGCGTAGGTGACTAGGGATTGCCCTGTTTTACGAATGCGAGCAATTAGTTGACCGAGCGAGTTCTATATATAGATAACGGCAGCATTAACAATGC